GTACCTACACCGCCATTTCACACTTTACGATGCTGTACCCTGGTTGGATGATGCAATCAGGGTACAGCATCGTGTTGGCCCATAAAATCAATAAGTTGGATGCGCCACACTATCAGCTTCCATTGGAATCGTGGTTGAAATATCCATAAAGCCTGTATAATGGTGAGCTGATGGGTTACGTAAGCTCAAAATTCCCCATAGTTCACTGTTAATGCTTCAGGCCAGGTGTCAAGGCTGCGAATACTGGAAATTACGATTGATTCATCGCAGAGATTGTTGTCATCTGCCAGCTGAAGCATCACCCGTAACAACAGCGACAACTCCGTTTGACTGGGAAAACGCTCCTTCCAAGCCTTTCTCTGGTGACCCTTCCACCCATAAAGCTTAGAGGTATGTCGAGGTGGAGTAGTGTCAAGCCTCCTACCTCTCCCACCTAGGCTAACCGAGCCTGCCGTTCTCTGAGGCCAGTAGAATTAGTATCAGACAGACCTGGGAGGATAAAAGCAACGACTTATACATGTCGTCATGATCCCTGCAAATGATAGGGCGTGTGAAGAGGCGTCGGCTGGACGCAGCTAGAACAGTCTTTTCCACCTGCTGCGAATTTAGAATGACATAATTGGTGGGGAAGGCTGTCTTGGCAGCACATCAAGTCCGTGATCGCGACTGTACTTTGGCAGTTCTCCGCAATCTACTGTAGGAGCTTGATCGCATTCAAAGTTTCACTTTGTCCAAGTGGAGGTGGAACACGTGGCGCATTGAAAAAAAGAATTATCAATGCCACAACCCTAAAAGAGGTTTCAAAAATATTGATTGGAAAGCCCCAGTGACGCCATCCCGTGAATTCTCACACGCCAAACCGTGACTTCTGTGGGAAGATAGTGGCGGGCAATACATGTCTACGCCCCAAGCAGCAGCTTTCTGCTCGGTGGCGAATCCAGGTCAGATTGTTTGCCTGAGACTTCTGTTTTATATTTTTTTTGCGTTTCTGGTGGTTGTACTGTATATTTCTCGTTCTTTCCTTTCACAGATTTCATAAAATTATACATAAGCCAATATAATATCAAAATACTAGGTGATGGATCGGGTCAAAGCGAAAGGTAAGCCTCCGGATGACGGAGGAGGAGCGAGCGGCGCTTGCGAAGAAGTTGGATGATGATTTGGAACAGTTTATGGAGGAAATGGCCGCGAAGAAGGTATCCATATTGGGTCTTTGTGGGCATAGGGGGTCACTTATGTTTCCTGATCCTCATTATGAGCCTTGTTACATTTACAAGTACTTGAAGCGGTTTTGTACAGGCTGCCGAGCAGACAGAGAAAAAGCCATTCGACTTCGATGAGTGGTGCAAAGACATCGATCAGCATCCTGCTTTTATGAAAGATCTTGATGCTGGGTTGAATGGTCAGTATGCAGATACGCTGAGTGCGCTTCAGGTATGATAATATTACGGGAACCTTTATTTTCGAGTGCTTTTAGTTGATTGATTGATTTTTGATTGATGAGTTTTTCAATTTTTGAGCTCTTTTAAGCTGTTTTCAAGAATGCGGAACTTGGAGATCCTCCTACGCTTGTTGTAGGTGTTGCTCACGGTGTTCTGAGCCCATAACTAGGTCGAAATGTTCCCCTTGTCGCTGCTTAGCTGAACACCGTCTGAATACTTTGGAGCTCATTTTTTAGCCTTAGTTTTTGGCTTGTAACAGATACCACCGAAAGTATGGAACCTGGCGTGCCGAAAATCCGACCTAGAATTAAGCAGTTTACATCGTCACAAACCGGCGGGGTAATATTGGACGCGTGGAATGCGCACAGCTGCGGCATTTTTCACCACTAGTAGTTTCCTGCCTGAGCCGATCACGATTGGTAGAAAACGCAGCCACGCCTCCTGACACCGCTCCGCTGCATTGCGACAATATCAGCCGTAGGCTCCAGGTAGCTATTGTATATCCCGTACCCTTTTCATTTTCTATTCATGAGATATCTGAAACCAATAACTTAAAGACAGACTCCGCGATTTTCTGATGGCTAAGAACTCTTCTTTGATTGAATCCTTCAAGGGTTAGCATTGAGTCCATGAAAAAAATTCATTGGCGCTAGTCGAGTGCGAGGAATGAATTGGCTTTTAGCTTTTGTTTGCTAGGGTTCTTTGATACAGGCTTTTGCCATTTTTCTTTTACTCAAGTCAAAGTCGGGAAAAACAGCTCTTACTCATATTGGTGGGAAGAAGCACCACAGTAGATGAAATGGTTCTACCACCCGGAAGCAGCTTCCCCCTAGGCTTGGGCAAAAATGCTCGACTTCCTGGCTTGTGTTTTTTCTTTTAATTCTCGTATTGCACTGAAAAGTGGCCACTAAAGGAAAAAGCGTGGAAACGGATCGCGCTTTTGACGTACTTTTGCGCCAGTGTCCCTGTATGTTTGACTGGTCCGAATTATCAAATGTTCCTACATTTCTCCATCTATTGGGTTGGCCCATAACTAATGGCGTTTTTTCTCACTCAGATATCGCACTGAAAATGAAAGATTTTGCCATTGAGTATCATATTGTCTTGCAGAGAATTCCTTGCTCTACAAGACAGAATTTTCAGTAGTTTTTCTGGAAGATCCTTTGGCCCTAATATTTAAGCGCTCAAACTGGATTGTCAGGGCGACGAAATGAGCATTTTCGACAGCCTCTCTTTTTTACCTCTAATTAAAAAGCTAAAACAGCACAGGCCCAGTTGCTAAGTATATGGCCAAGAGGCTCTGCCTCTTAGAAATGCTTACAATGGTTCAACCGAATCAAAGATTTAAATTTCGACCTCACAGACAAGCATCGAACCTAATGCCCTATTGAGTCCAACTGAGAGCTTACTAAATCACCTTACTCACGGAGATTCATACCAAGGATGGGGAATAATTAGAGGTCGTGAAATGCTTCTTTATCATCATCAAGCATCACCCTCAGCTGATGTTAGACGTTCGAAACTTGGTGGAGGGGTTCTACAGGCAGTCGCTCCCCAAGAGGGCACCCCATGCGATGCGCATTTACAAGGTCCGAATTCCCACCTCTGAATCGCTTGAACCAACTTCAAGCTGTCATAAGAAGCATCTTTCCTTGATCATATATATCTTACAAGTTTCGATCTTCTTCTGTAATTTGAGAGCTGAGATAAAGTGCAAAAAGCTGTTGTCGAAAACTCACTTTTGTGTCGACCCGACACTCCATTTCAATAGAATAAAAATCGACAGAAATAAGAAATAGTAGGAAGGCAATTAAACTATCTCATAGAGCGGAAAATTATCTATCGAATAGCATAGAACATAATAGAGACGATTCCCGCTTTCCATATAAAAATTTATGTAAGAAAGAAACGCCATTACTCATCGGCTAACCTAAGAGAAGGCTCTCCGTGGTTCTGTACCTGTGTTATAAAAGTTCCAACGCTTTCACTCGTTGTTTAATCTTGTTTAGTCCAGAGGTCAGTTGAGGTGTAGCTATTTACAAAACGGTCTTTTAGCTTAACATTGAAGGGCGAGGGGTACTAGAGAGAATGCGTCCATGCTTTGCGTCAGCGTTTGAGCGTAAGCCAGCGTACGGCAGCGCATTGGCGACTAAGAAGCTGTCTTCTTCAAAGAATTTTTTACATGAAGTTACAGTCGTTGAGAATGTCGTTTCATAAATTTTAATACCTTGTTGTGGTCAATTCTGCAACTACTTCTTGTAGGCATTGAAATATGATGAAGATGATATGGAAGATAAGCAAC